TGATTACTGTAATTTGTGTTTAGTCAGTGTGAGATTGTTGGAGCTGTAGCCGAGTAGTTATTATTATCAGCAGATCGAGGTGAGTCTCTTCCTGGTATTATGGGTCAAAGACATCAAGGCCAGCCCATTATCTGGTTATGTTGTATGCTAGTTGTTATGTGATACATGTTGTGATCGGGTTGAAACACATCCCAGGGTGGGGCCCAATATGGCATGACGATTTGAAATATACCTCAGGGCGGGGCCCATTGTGATATGTTGGATTGAAATATACCCCAAGGTGGGGCCCATACTTGTTTTTGGGTTGGAATGAACCCTAGGGTTGGGCCCATTTGTATGATTGGTATGTGTTATTTTGGGAAAATTCACTAAGCGTTAGCTTACAGTTTATATTGTGATTTCAGGTACTTCTGATTCTAAGGGGAAGGGCCCAACTTGATGGCGCAACATTCACTCTTCACCATTTTTTGTATTCACTGTTATTGTCACTCTGATGATTTTATATGATGATGATTATGTATTGGATTTTGGAATCAAACTTATGATTGTAAACTTTAATTAAAAATGAAAAATTTTCTCCTAGTTTTTGGGTTGTTACAGTTTTTTAATTGGCTTGATACCATGTTCAATATTGTGGAAACCCATCTTACCAAAGATGTATGTATTGCATAAATATATAAAAAAAGAATGTTACTTATGGCTCCATATGCTATACAAATGAGTATAAACAGTATATAACCTAACATATACTATTATTAATGATTTTGCACTGAAAAAAAAACTATTTTTTTCTAAAATAGTGATTTTTTATAAATGATTTGACTATATTTGTGTGTTTGAGGGGTCTTTTCTTTGACAAAGTTTCATGGGAAAGAAGTTGATTAAGTGTCACTCCTGAAGTTTCATGTTAAGGAGAATCAAAGGTTGATTAAGTAAATCACGAAGATCTTAGGTTGTAAAACAAAAATTATGATATAATGGTGAATGTCCTTGGTCATTCGGAAATAGAGACATACCTTTATGAAAACTCTTATGTAGAGAACTAGAACAAAGTTGATGGGGGTGTTATCTTAATTTTTTCTCTAATTTTATCATTTATGGATGTTAGTTTGTAGATTCTAGTAGATTTGCATATCCTTTTACGAACTTATAGATTTTTTGTAAGTTGTACGACAGAAGCATAAGATCGTATTGAATTTTGGTAAGCTTGACAATTTGGGCTAGATGATAAAGTTCTGGTAAACATTTCTAGACTAATAGACTTTTCAACTAACATATTATTTTAACATGTGCTTAGGTGACAAATAGATTGAATAATACAAATTAAGAGAGATAAAAGTAGTTATACAGGAGTTGAGGAGAACCTTTAGGGCTTAAATAGATAAAACATTATAATTATTATTATAAACATCTTTTAATTTATTGTGATGAGCCTAGAACTTTTTTTAACGTTTTAGTGGGAACATTTTTGAATAATTTCTAAATAAATTAAATAATGTAATTTAGGTTTCAAAGTTAATTTTATTTAAATAGAAATAATTTAAATGGGTTGGCCAAATTGAGAAACTAACCTTCTAGGTTAGTTATATATGATTAGGTCTTGTTGGACTCTTGGGAGTTAGTTAAGGAAACAAGTTGGAATCTTAAGAGTTTAGGGATCTGCGTTGTAAGTTGACCATAGTTATTAAGATAACCCCTAAATTTCCCTCCTTTATCTTCATTTGAATGATACTCGGTTTAAGAGATATAGAGAAAGGACTCGAATTTGAGATATAACTAAGGGGCTTGAAGTGAAATTGAAGATCTAGTGTTAACTAGGAGTTAAAAATATTCAAAATGATCTTCATTGGTAATGGCTTTAATCCTTTTTTATTATCAAAGTCTCTAACATATAAGAAATATCTTCAAATCCAACTTCCATATTTAATACATTGATTGATTTGAATTTAGAGGTAGATCATATGCTTTAAACACTAATATAATGATGTAATATCATTATAATGATGAATTTGAGTTCATGTTCAAGCTTTAATAGAGGTTTTGAAACCCTAACTTCACGAAACCATCACTTGGCCATGTGGATTTCAAATTTAAGAAATGAATTAGGTTAATGATGTGGTTTAAAGGTGAATTTATCAATTCAAAGTCCAAATCATAGTATTAGAACCTTCAACTAGATCAATGGTAGAATTAATAACTTACATATAGTTTCTGAAAATTATAATTGGAAAATCTCTCACAAACTACTTAAGTTATGATTGAATAATGGTTATAGGATCCATATATGATTTATAGTCAGTTTTTTCTATCCTAATTACAAATCAAAAGTAGAAATCAAGACTACAATTCATTTGTGGAGTTTGAAGTTGGAAAACGAAGTTTATCAAGTTGTGAAGTGATGAAACATTTTGATCTTCATATAGGAATTGGATAAATGGTTTTTAATGATGATTAGGATGTCAGACTTAAAAGTGAAAACACTTTGAAGTGTTCATGTTTGTGTATCAACTCAACATATTGGATTTTCAAGGCAAATCCCACTTTCCAAATCAAGTCGAGTTTCTTCCAATGTCTTGGTATGATTCCAGAGATGATATATGTAATGATTAAAATGAGATGTTAAAGATTAAGAACCTTAATTATAGTGGAATTAATTGCTTATTATCTAATGTATGTTTATTCTTGGGTGCCACTTAGCCACTCAAACCACTTGGGGAGTGAAGTAGAGGTGTTGCAACTAATTGAGATGAGTTATTACCCTAATATTGTAAGTCCCTATCATATTTTTATGCTTGATGAGATATATTATATATATGATATATGGATACTATAAGTACGTTATGTGTATTCCTAAAGTAGATTTTCAAATAATTTTTTATAAATTGAGACAACTATTTTATTTTGCACTTAATTTTATTCATAAGCTTGTGTATTCACTTAGGATGTGATGATGACTTGTGTGACCAATGATGACTTGAGTACATAATTGTGGTATTATGGTGAAGTGATGGTTTTATATATATCCATCACTTGCATGCACTGATGGCTACCTCTCATGATGGATATTGTATGATGGGCATATTATCCTATCATGTGGTCTTCATACATGTAATGTTTAGCTTTTTGTTTTCTTTACACTGACAACTTCGAATTCAACTTTAGTGTGGTTTTTGGACTTTTAAGGAGACTTGGATGAGATGTTTGGATGTGAGGCGACTTGGTTTGGGATTTAAAACTATAAAGCCTTGCATATTTATATATGTTTATTTGTAGTTGATGTTTTGCAATGCTATCTTTAAAATTATTTTTCTCCATATAATGATTATTTACTATTTGATGAAGATTTGAAATGTTTGATTGGTTTAAATTGTGCTAGGAATGTGCGAGTTCCTTATACTTAATAAATTTTGAACGATGATAATATTCACTAGACTTCCAAGCTTAACATTTATATTCTTACTTGTATTCATGATCAAGAGGCTTAGTTGAAGAAGGATGATTGAGTAACATTGAATATTTAGAAGATGCATATTTTGAACTTAAGTTGATTTTATAAATGTTTACTTTAAACTTTTTTTCTTCATGATTATTATTTTACATTCTTGTATGACTTGACATTTAATTAATTTAAAATGTTAGGATATGAAGAATATATATGGTAAGTCTTTTGAACTAAGAAAAATGTTTTTAAATGTTTATTTCAAAATAGCTCATATAATGGATGTTTCAATAAGGATACAAAGAAGTCAAGCCTCAAAATTACTATCCCCTCTCTAAATTCGATAAGTCTATTGTTATTTGGATTACCCAATATGGATATGGATTCAAGTTATTTCGATAGTCATAGCAGCTTAATTTCAATTTAAAACATTTTTGTTATTCGGGTAATCGGGCTTGAATTTTAGGTTATTTGGATCAACTGGTATATAACTTATAAATACAAAAAAAAAAATGGTGGTATAAATGACTCCTTCTAGTTTTAGTGGGGCTGGATTCAAGTTACACAAAAATGAAATTGAACCACAAAATTAAACAATTTTCTTATTTCGTTCCATCTGATAATTGATAATTGAATGTAGAATACCCAAGGTTTAAAAATATTAGGTGTGACTTTGGTGACAATGTTAAGCTTCAACCTTTTATGAGCAATGACGAGTCACGCCTTACAAATGATGTGACTTAAGATGACAATTTTAAATATAATTAATATTTTTATATTTATATTTCTACTATTATTCATTTTTATAAATATATATAACTTAATACAATATTTTTTAAAATTTGGCATTAAATACAAATCTTCGAGCAATGACTTTCGTCATGCCGAACTTTTTAAAACCTTAAAGAATAACACAATCCAAATAACCTGATTAGCATGTTCTTTGGCTGAACTAGGAACACCCTATGGGTGTTTATATGTGGTTATTAGTATATTTAAAATTTAGAAGCAAATAACTGGAAAAGTCTTTTTTTACTACAATTAGGTATTATAAATTTGAAATATTTTTAAAAATCAGATTTTTTTACAACGAGTTTTTTATATTTATTAATATCTAGTTATCTTTATCATAAAAAGTTAAAAGCCATAAAACCAGATATATTAACTACAAGTCATGAAAAACTAGTTTACTGGATTTTGATAATTAACCATGATAAAATTATTGAAGTTTAACATAAATATATAATTTTATATTAACCTTAGAAATTAAAATAACAAAAAAGTCAAAACCAGTTTTTATTACAATTAAAAATCTTACCTCTTTTTAAAATCCAATTAACTTGATACTTAAAAATTACAAATGAAATAAAGTTGACCCGACACAACAAAACTAATCATTATTACATTGGTATTCAGACTTACAAATTACAATCGGTACCTATATCCTCGCGCTTATAGGTTTTCCAAATTTACATTCACCACCTTCAAGTTTAGATACACATACAAATACACACAAAGTTCAAACTAGCTGGTACATAAAGACCCTTTTGTCCTTTGACTTATGTTTGTTAACAGTGGTTGGTGCACTCAGGGATACCATATTGTCATTTCACATCCGAAAGTTGCATCTAATTTATCAAAGTAGAAGAGAGAGAGGACCCAATATGTATCAAAGGGACTGAATAGGTAGTTAAGAAATAGAACAGGGGGCATATCTAATATCATTTTCATACGAAAGCACAATGCAAAAGAACCACCTTAAATTCATCAAGAAGCACAAGGCGTGATCACATACGCATTTAGCTTCACAAAAATTGTAACGTCGATTACATCAGATTTTCTTTTCTTGTCTCTTCTCTCTCTAGACGTTTTCTTGACTTCGTGCCCACCGACTGCGAGGTACGTATAGCTAATGCCACGTTGAATCGGAATTAATTTGTGCTAACATCAGTTGTCGGTCGATCGAATCACTACATAAGATGATCGTAGTGGAATAGTCATTTTAGGGATTGATAAATTGAAGTTCTCTCTGACTGAGTTTTGCTCAAACCCCTTGTTCATTACTTTCTTTAATTTAGTGTTTGATTGAAGTTGCAGGGTTTGCATGATGAACAGCGGCAGCACTGGCAGCGAACGAGCTGCTGATCTGTACAATGAGCCAGACATGGATATCGAAACTTGGGTTAACGAACTCTATACTGATGAGTTTCGAGATTCTTTGATGAATCTTGGGTAAATTTCTGATTTCTTTCAAGTTCTTGTTTTTGTTTTCGCGATTTAAATTTTGGTTAAGTTTAACAAATCTTTGCATGTTGTAGCAAGATCGGCTTACTAGTGCTTCTTTTCCTGAAGGGGTTTTGCGATAATGTTTGAAGGTTTCTTTTTGCTGTTAATTGATAATGAACGCTAATCACTCTAGAAGCAATCTCGATGCTATATTATTATTAATTATTATTATTATTATTATTTTGCTGTGGATTTGTGTTTATATAAATTGCGACCATTTTTAGGTTTTCAAAAGGTCAGTAATCTTTATCGAAGACGCTGCGCTATTTGGGGGAAACCTTCAAAAAATGCTATTAATTATTCTATGTGATTGTAACTATTTCATACATATATGCGTCTCGAATGCATATATGTATTCCAGAAATTGAATCTCAGATGCGTTTATAAAATTCACCAAGAGCTGTAAAGAGTTCTTGCACTAATGGATAATTTCTGTTGAACATGTTTATGGAAGCTAGCCAACTCACAAGACTTTCGCATATCAACTTATTTTAACATCATTTTCAATTCTATTGTTATTACACAATCAATTAGTCGTCCTTTTGCTTCGGAATCAAATCTTTTTGCTAATTTTATAGTCATTCTACAATCTTATACATGTTTAACATCGTTTTTTTTTTCCATCTGTTGTACTTCACATGTTTGCTGGTATGATCTTAACATTGTCCCAAAGATGTTAATGATGTCTTTCTTGTGGCTTACTAGCTGCATCTATTTCTTGATACCAAACTTTTGGAAAAGACCGTTTTGTAGGTTTGTATACCGCTACGGTTGATCGTTTGCATCTACATGAGTTATTTTGTTCTCCGTCACGTATTTTGTTTATATCCTAAAAGTTTTTTGTCGGATGTCTAGTGTGTTGTCGCTTAGTTGCGAACAAAATAGGTATAACTTCTATTATGTCCATCTTATGACTATACTTGCTTTCGTCACCCGATAACCGATAACGTAACATTATTTCTTCCATATATTATTGATATCCTCACTCCCACGTGACTCGAATCGACTTTTAGATATTCCTTAATTGTGAACATGATTCGTAACATCTTGGGATCACGATACGCACTTTACTTTCGCACACGTGTTTATCTATATGTTTTAAATGCTAGTAGTACTTGTATACATGTAAAAAATGTGTTCAAACAAAATAATAGAGGTTTATTTTCAATTTTGGAAAGGCCATTTTTTTAAACAGGATGTCAATACCTCAAGGGTTAAGCCGGTGTGATTTAAACTTGGGGCAACTTCTTTCTTGGAGTGCTTCAAGTGATCACCACTACACCACCTTGATGGTGATTGGAAAATCAAATTATTTGTTGTTGCTTCCAAATGATCACTACCAAGCCACCTTGGTGGTGGTATTTGTTGTTTTTCTTGCTATTAGTCATGACAACTTCTTAACTTTAATCAGTACCGATATTTCTTATTAATTTCCACTATTATGATTTATTGATTATAGATGAGACTAACTGCTTTTCTTTTTCATCAACAGTTTGGATGATATAAACATCAATCCAGATTATGCTAGCGATCAGCCAAACATGTCTGTAAACAGCGGATCCATCTTCGGAGGAGGTTCAGCAGATAAGGTATATATATACTGCCAATAGTTTCTTGATTCCGTCATTTATTCACTTGTTTCATGAAGTTTTCTTCATTGTTCAAGCATCTTGAGGTACTTTGGGGTGGAGTGGAGGTAAGAATAAAGTTGGTTTCTCTCTTATAATTGTTTGTATCAGGATACGAAACGTTTTTACTGCATGATCAACAAGTTTCAAATCACAAAATCAAAGTAAACTTTAATTAACAACTAACAAGAAAACAAATCATTAAAAACGTTTCCTATGATCAACTTGGAATTTGTAGCTTTATCAACAATTACAGTGACAGTGAACGTTCAATGCTCACCGATGATAGACTTGATGCACCTATATTTATTAACCCCCTTAGCTCCAATGTTGTCATTCAAGTTTGGTATGTATTTAAGTTTCTGAAAGGAATATGTGTTCTATAATTGTCGAGTCGAGGGTGTGGCATTAAGATTATGATGACAATGCTCAAAATGGTATGGTGAAGAACACGAAAACTTTCTGCTTTTGATGTGTTGATGAATGCAAATATATTGATTATATAATTTGAAAGGAAATGAATAACGATTGTTGCAACCGTTTCTCATGTTCTACTTGATTACTTAGTAGCTTAAATGGGTGTAACATTTTTCTATGCAGCCACAAAGAGGAATTCCCCAGGAGAGGATGACTATGAGCAGCTTGACTCCCAACAGTAGCACACCAACACTGCAGACATCAGGTAGCAACATGAAATTCATCAATATTTTTTGTAATTAGTCGCCATTGGTAAAGTTTTGATGATTGTTATTTGTGTTGCAGGTCATATCCTGTCTCCAGTACCAAAGTTTGTCTCTAATCCAGCTTCACAAAGTTCTCCCTCACTTAGAACACAGGATTTGCCCCAATTCACAAACCAAAATCAACCGTTGAAACAACAGATCTTTGAACACAAGGCTGTCCAACAGCCACCAACACATCCCTCAATAACTCAATCAACCATCATGTTTGGTCAGCAAAAGACCAATCAACAAATGCCATCAGATCATCTTCGTCCATGTCCAAGGCCAGTGTCAACTATTAAAACGATCCATCTACAAAACCAGCAGACACCGATGCAACAAATTAGTAATACAAGTCAATTGCAGAAACGACAGAAGCAGATGGTTGTTCATCCATCACAGAACTTCCAGCAGAACCAGAATCAAGCACAGTTGCAATTTCAACAGCCTGCAGGGATGACATCACATATGCTGATGCCAGAAGGTGGTCAGCATAGGGTTCATGGATTGGTGATTGGATCAGAAGGGCAAAGGAAACCACAAGGACATATGTCTGCTGCCTTGTCAGGTAATTACTCACATAGTTCCCAATCCCATATACCACACTTATTAATTATATAAGGAACAAACCTAATCACAGAGTTACACATGTTAAGTGTTTAATGGAAACACCCTCTTTGCAAATGGAAGGAAAGTATTGCCTACAGTCACTTTCCTCCCTAATTGTTGCCTTTTTGTTTAATCAGTTCTTATGCCAAAGATGTCTTGTATTACTTATTGAATTCTATGGAATCCTTCTTATTATATATAGACGTGACTAGTAATTGTTTAATGGTCTTCAATTAATTGGCAGCTACGGCCGGATTTTCACTTCCAAATGATTTTTCTACAAATGAAAATTGGCGAGAGTATGCTTTCCGACAGGTATTTGTTTTATTTATTTTCAATTATCATACCTTATGTATTTATGATGTCAATCTCTAGTTCATTTGATGCCTTTTTTATCATATTTCCTATGATCTTGATTTCATTGCATATGATTTCTTTTTTTATGATTCGGAGTTACTTTTGCAGGTTCAAGAGATGAAAGAGAAATATATAAATGACTTACTAAATATGCATAAGAGGGCAGTTCATTTATGCTCTCAGGTCCAACTCACAATCACAATCTTTCACACCATCCATTAACACCCACATAGTTTCTTCTTGTGCTGAGGCTTGATTCTCCTTTGCAGGAAACAAACATCGAGATAGCAACCAAGTATGGACACGCGAAAGAGTTTCTGGAAAAGATGATCAATTTCTTGAATATCGCTACAATTGATAAGATTCCAAAGAATAGGGAGAGAGTTTACAACTACATAAATTTCATCATCAACTACTTGACCTCTTTTAGGAACAAGAACGGGGGTTCTTCTCAGATCTTTGACCAGATGATCAATCAGCCACCTGCAGATCATAGCCAGTCGAAAGGATCACAGCTGCAGCCTAAGGGAGGAGACATGAGGTTGCCTTACAGTCTGCAAGAAAATCTTAATCATGGGGTGGTAAACGTAGAGATGAACACGTTAAGCATTAATCAGCAACGGGTTCATCAGCCCACTAATAGCCAAAAAGGCAATGGTGACTTGAAGTTGCAAAGCATGCCCCCACCAAATTCTTCTCAGGGGATTAATCTTGCAAACAGGGAAGCTGCAATGATTAACTTTAATCAGAATTTCCCTTCCAGAAGGCCAGAAGGGAGAATGGCAAGTCCACTTTCTGTAAATCCATTACTCACTGGTTCGTTCAAAGGTACACAGCCAACTGTTTTAGGTACAACACAACGGTCAAACTTGGGACCAAGGACCAGCAGTGTTAACGTTTCAACTTCTTCCATGAGTTTGTTAAGAGCAGCAACTGCAGCTAACTTTCCATCTCGACAGGTTAACCACCAACCCTCATTGGTCAATCAAAGTTTCAACTCAGAAAAAATGAAACAACCTATGCAGAAATCCAATGAGATGACTTGGTCAAACCAGGGTCAAGTGTTGTCTCCTTTGGCTTCCCTATTGCAGAACCAGTTTCCTTCACAGTCAGCTCCGAACCCAATAATACTTCAGCCATCAGGACAGCATTCAGTTTCATCTTGGCAGGTTAATGCAAACAATGTGTTGTCACCACAGTCAATAGCTCGTTCACCATTTTTACTTGGTTCTTCATCAGCTCCTTCACATCATGAGAAACACTACTCTTCTTCTGGTCCAGCCTCTGTGTCAAACACAGAGAGTCAAAGGCAAGAAATACCGATCATTGCTGGACTCTTCAAAAACCAAAAAAACATGAACAACAAAGTTTCAGATATGGATCCTCAGAAAACACCAAAAGCCTCACCACCCGTGGACACCACCCCATGCACAGAAAAAGCCGCAGAATCACAAGATTTGAAAGATCCGGTTCTTCATTTAACGGAAACAGTACGTTAAGTTTCTTTTGATGATCTTTATATCCATACTAGTTTGTTTAATTAATGTTGCAACATATATGCTTTGAGATGAACACTTTTTCCCTAAAATAAAACCTCAATCATGTCAATATTAATGGTAGCATGAGCATATCTTTGTCTATCTCAAACTCCAAACTTATGATAACATATATTTCATTAAATTTGATGGTATAATTTGTTCGAATGCTGATCATTACACATCTATTTTCCGTTTCAGGTAAAATCATTACGATCGAGAACAATAGGTTCTTCAATGAATGATATCAAGTCAGTCGCGCAGGATCACCATAGCATACCTGCTCCTGCTGAACCTGTTGGTGGAATTACACAAACTTTATCTGATGATGAACTTGTAAATCTTGATCATCTTAACATAGGAGAAGAAACCGCCTTTCTTTTCGCACCTGAAAATGTGCCACAACGAAAAGTGAAACGTAAATTCACATCAGCAAGTCATACTTTACAAGATTTCGGGGATTTTGATAGCATTGATCAGTTTTTTTCTGAGGAATGGGACAGCGATTCTACTGTGCCAGCAATGAAGAAGAAGTCCAAGATTGAGGTAAAACTTATTTCATCATGTATATAGTTTCAAGTTTTCTCCATTTCGTGGTTTCTCATGTTTCTTCTTTGAAATCTATATTATTCAAACAGTGCACAAACCTGGCAATATCAGAAGAGATCAAAGAGATTAACAAGAAGCTACTTGAGACATCCTTGGAGATGGTGGCTAACCCTGCTGAAGATAGTAATAGCATACTTGAAGGGCATGAAGGAATCAAAGTCACCTTCGTATACAGGAATGTGTGTATCCCTGATCTATTCCGTACCCAGGGAGGGGTTACATCTAAAATGGTAAATCTTGAATATCTGTTGGCATATATTCATATTTTTGGCATGTTTTTGAAAAGGTCACTTTGTTTCTTTCTACAGAGGCCTGAGTTTCGCATTAAGCTACTTGTTCTGGTTAATTATCCAGCTTCTTCACCTACGATCTTAAAGGGAAGCCATGATAATGTCTCGAGGTGAGTGATGATTGATCTAAACTTTATATAATTAATGTATATGCTCTGCATATTCCTCTAAATTAAATATATATTTATTTACCAAAAAGTCATTTTTATGAAAACTTTTTTCACTAATCTGGCATGATCAGCGAACCATGGCCGCAATTGTATGAGGAAATGGTGTCTAAATTCCATTGCGCGATTCGTGAGCTTCCTGAGCCAATGTCTCTTGGTGACATGGCACGAAAATGGGATGCATGTGCTCGATCTGTAATCACCGACTTTGTGCAAGGAATAGGTGGAAAGAGCTTCAGCATAAAGTATGGAAGCTGGGAGAGTTCTTCTGTTTCCAAGTAGTCCAGAAACAGAAGTTGTAGATGGATGTTGTTTAGTATGTTGAGTCGTGTGGGTTTGAACTTAATTAGTACTTTCTCCTTGCATATATGTGTGTTGTTAATTAGCTTATGGCATGAGGAACAACTCCTTGTCCGAATGCAACATGTTACAGATATGGTGTTGTTATATATATATATATATATATATATATATATATATATATATATATATATATATATATAGCGAACTTCTATAAAAAAAGAAAGTTCAATAGGTATATGGAGTTTTTTATAGTTGACCTTTAGGAAAGTTATCTGAATGGTATTTTAATATATCGAGTAAGATTTGTTCTTGCATATAATGTCTTTATACAACTTGTCGTTGAATGCTTGCTCTACCAATAGAAAACACCGCATCAAATTCATTGGCAGACTGGTCCGGCCGCTCACCTGACCCATCCAGCTTGCCACACCCTCAAGAGGTTCAGCCGGCTTTTTTGCTTCCCCTTTTTTTGTCTTTTATGAAATGCTATTTTATATGTAAAGTAAGGTTCCGTTTGATAGTTTCTGTCTGGGAAAGTGCTGTCTGGTAAAGTGCTGTCTGAGAAAGTTTTCTGACTGGGAAAGAAACCATGTTGTTTGATTGTATATCTGATTGACTGTGCTGAATGATCAAAAAAAGTAATAATTCAATAAAAAATAAACTTAAAAAAAGTTATTTAAAAAAAATTAATAATCCAATAAAGAAAGAACGAGGCGGGGTTAGGTGTATAATTGTCTTTCCAGCCCATTCAGCCAGAAAGATATGATTTTGGGGCTTTCTGGGAAAGACATATCTTACCGGGAAATACCCCTTCTTTTGTGCAAATCAAACAGTCTTTCCTGTCCATTCAGCCAGAAAGATCTGTTTGGACCTGGAAAGATGTGTATCAAACGGGACCTAACTTTGGGTTTCTTAAACTATATCATCTTTGTTGTCATGTTCACATCGAGACCAAGAACATTTCTGTTACATAAATCCCCACAAGTGGTAATGGAGCTACAGTTTTGGATGTGAGCTATAGTTTTGGATCCGATACCAACAATGCTATGGTTTCGATCATATCCTTCTTCAGATTTTGTTGATTAACAGGATGTCAGTTGAAGAATTTAGTTCAACCATCTCAGGCTTGTTTAGTTTTTTATCATTAGAGGGTCAAACATAGCATGTTACATGCTACAAAGATTTTTATTACAACATAGAATACCTTTTATTGGACGTTCGATGTTGTCCACTATATATCCATGGGGTTTCATTGGGGGTGGAACTCTTTTTGAGTTTCGAGCTATTGTCGCTTCAATCTTATATATTATGAATTGTGTTCGTGTGATCGTGTCTGACCATCTTTGGATGATCCCCCATCATATTTTAGCTAGAGCCTAGAGGCTTCTGGTTTTGGGATTGTTGGGGATCCCGATCGATGTACCCCATCATTCGTTCGTGGAAGGAAGTTGTGTGTAAGTTTGGAATTATTGCCTTTGTTACCATCCTCTAGCTTTTTGTATATTTTATTGTAGCGGTTGTTTTTCCATATGTTCTACATATCCGGGCTCGTTTGAGTTCGAAGAAAAGAGGATTTTAAGTTAATGTGGAATTACTCGAAGATTATTCTACTTATTCAAGCATTTGATACATAACGTTTTTTGACACCATTTGATACCGTAAGGTATTTGGGCTGCTAGGAAATTTTCGTCAAAAGACGTTTAGGCTGTGATGGTCGTTACAGGCAAGCCCAAACTATGGGTTTTACCGTCGGATTTGGGCAAATCCTTCGGTATATTTTGTCAGTAATTTTTAGCAACAGAAATTCCAATGGATACGACCTAATTCACCTACAGATTTTGCCGGGAAGTATTAACAGATTATCGACGGCCATTGGCAGTGACCGAGTACCCACATAGCATATTTGTAACCGATTACCGACCAATATCTTTAGTAACGGAATATTTTTGTGACGGATTACCGACATACACTTTTATGGAACGTTTACAGATGGAAAAATATGGCAATAAGTTGCCGACAGGTTTTGCAACATTTTTTTCCATCATAAAAATATTTTAAATTTCATAAAAATCCAATTTTTTTTCTATATTCAAAATAGAAAAATCTAAAACATCATACACCAAATCCAGATTGGAAAACCAATAACATAGAACTAAAAAGGTTCTAATACATATTCCACAAACATTAAACATATACGATAAATCCATAGATTTTCAAATACATATTCAGCTAGCAAAATTAAACATAATACTAAAAAGTTACAAGTTCCACAAACACAAAACTGTTAGACTAGCAAGGAGGTTTACTGATTTGGTTGAATTGCTTCACAAGTTCAAGCATTTGTCCATAAAGACGGGCTTCGAACTCCTCTTGTAGCTTGAACTCTCTTTCAATATAGGCTTGCATCTCCTCCCATTCCTTCACTACCCTTTCTAGCATACTCTCTTATTCATTTATTAGAAGGTATACATAATAGTTATATTATTTACATTTTTCTATTGATTATAACAACATACTTTGTTTTTAATCCATAATAGGGTTAGGGTTGGGGTTTGGGTGGGATGCAATAGGAGTGGATGTGGGTGTGTGTGCGTATGTGGGTTGGTGTGTGGATGGAGATAAGTTTGGGGTAGGGTAGTGGGATGTGATAAGAAATGAAAACTGAGAAGCAATTAAACAGATAAAAACTGAGAAAATAAGAACTCAAGAAACCTGAATTTCTTCTTGCCCAAGCTTCATGGTCGAAATATAGAGAGATGACATTTTTAGAATCAAAATCATAACCACTAGTCTCATACTCATCCTACTAAATAAGATTCCACTAAATTCCAACTAACTAACTCTATCCATCATGCCCTACATGTGTCCTCCTTTGCCTTTGATTTTCCACACAATGGGCTTGTTGGACTGTTCACTTAGTGAGTTGGGCGTTTGATCTCTATCAAGATGTGGGTGGGTGTGGGTGTAGATCGGGTAAGGGGTGGCGTTAGGTGGGTGGGTGGATGTGTAGGAGAAATGATGATAATTTGTTTTCATTTGATGAATGATCATGGCTAAAATGAAGCAAAGTAGGAAACATTTTTGTCTTTTTAATCAAACATTATAAGGAATGGAATCTAAAATATATACTCTTAGTTTGAGACTGACAATTCATTCAACCACATAATTTAATGGAATTTAAAGAATTCCAATTTTTATTAGAATTCACATTCAAATTCCTCAAAATTTCTTTGAAATCCGTGAACCAAAAATGGCCTTAATTAGTTTGTTGGCTTTTTCGTTTGCTGCATTAACAATAAATAGTTAAATGACCAAACTATACAAACTTAATTACTATTATTTTGAGATCATGCAATCAACTTGGAGAGTAGCTAGGGATATTATAAGAACCAGAAATATCTAAGAATCTATATCGATCTTTATTTTATGTTAAATATTTTTTTATTTAGTATACATAAATTTATAATTTTATATCAAATTCTATAACTTATGTTGCGTTTGTCAGAATGAAAATTGATGTGTTAAACCATTACATTATCATTTGATAAATCTTCATGATTGTCTCACATAGTCTATGATTCTTATGAAATAACTTGATTTATTGACTTATATATGAGTAAGTTTACCACAGTAGTTCTAAAAACCGACTTATGTATTTCAGTATTTATAAGTTGTGTTGTTTCCGATAAATATCTAGCAAATACAAAAAAGGGACATTATAGGCAGACCTAGCTAACTATTGAATCATTGATCATGGTCCCTACCATTGCAAACAACGAAGATGACTACATGTAGTAACTATTGTCATATTTTATAATTCTTTTCAACAATCTCTAGATACCTAAAATTAAATATGAATGAAAGAAAGTTAACTAATTAGATGGAACAAAAAGCTCCCACAGTTGTGTGCTAATAAGTAACTAATAGGAGTAATCTTAATTGATACTTTTAAAAGGGTATTCAGTCCTGATGGCTCTTCTGGATGCTTTCTTTTGTGAAAGGACCTTAAGTTCATAACTTGCATTCTTTTTGACTCTGATATAGTTGCTCCATATTGAAAAACAGAAAACAAAAGGTAAAACTAGAAGCCCTTTGTAACATATGGGCTACAACAATAAGAAGGAGGGACTCACAATTTGGTAATTTTCTTTACTTGTTCTTCTGACTGGGGTGGTGGGACATAAAATGCGGCATCAACGATTGCTTATTACATTCATTTTGTTAAAATCAAGATTTATATATTAAAAGATGGATTCTAAGCATTAATACATGGAGTTTTGATGAATCAAAGAATCGAGTATTGAATTAATCAGAGTATGAATTCAGATAAGAATGCGAGATTGAACACCGGATGTAAATATGATCTTGTTTCAGCTCTATTACGCTTTCGAATGTTTACATAGTACAATAGACAGGTCTGTAAAAACTCTTATCTAACTCTAGTAAATATCCCTATTTATAGGGAACAGAAAGCGTACAAAAAATATACTAAGGCCTAGACACTTAAGCTTCGAATAAAAGCGCCCTAGTAAAATACATTACAAAACATTCGAAGAGTTCAAAATACATTTCGACTAATTACAACAATTCGACCCTTACAATCTCCCCCTTTGTAATCATAGTCGAAGTACTCAATTAGTAAGTAGCTGGATGGAATACAGCATCACTCTTCGAATCTCCGTGTACCAGGAGATTATCTTCTTCAGCTCTTTCTTATCTCCTTCATTGTTCTTCTTACAGTGATTCATACGAACAATTAAGTTCGTATATTGAGACGTTGAATACCTTTCCACTTCGCATGCCTGGAACAAGAACCGTTTTGCTTTACCAGCCTTGTCTTTTCCTGGGAAGACCATTCCAAAAGGCTTCAGGCAAATTTCACCATCAGCATACTTCTTCAATTCTGCCTGAGTCTTCGTAGGAGCCATCTGAACTTTAATTTCCATACCTTTAGTCGTAGCTAACTCCACATCTGTAAG